GTTGTAATGTACCTAAATGAAGTTGTTCTCTCTATAGTTTATATATTTCAGTGATTATCAAAATATCATTGAAATGCATGGGCTTATTTCATCATAGTTTTTTCACTTAGTTACTCCTTGTGTTTATTTCCAGTTCTTTATTGGCTCTAATTTTGCCGAGAGGCGGTTTTCTGAACCTCTTTTTCACAGGCCGGGAGAGGCAGCTAACAGCAGTTCGGGCTGAATATATTTACGGTAATGGGTACGATGGTCACTAAACCGGACTGGAACGACAATAATACCCCCGGCACCTTTGCCTGGAGACAAATTGCTTTCGAGCCGTGGTTCAAACCATAAGTGCTAAAAGGGAGAACGATTTGATTCAATGTTTTGAACACGCAGGTGTGAGGAGAAATGTTATTTAACTAGAATCCCGTAGAAATTACCCCGGCTCTTTGATTCACTGATAAAATATTAAGAAAAATATGATTTTTTTTGGGGGGGGGATCCCTTGAACTTTATTGAACTTGTCTGTACTTTTAAAACTTTTATTTTATCATCCAAATGTTTATTTCACATTTAATTTAAAAAGCCCTGTGAAGTTCAAGAAAGGAGTAATCCAGAACAATATAAAATAAACAATCCAAAAATAAAGACACAATAATATAATAGAATGGCGTGAATGAAGGCGAGAATACCCCGAAGAATATCGAGTAATCTGTGGTGAATTATTTGTGTTATGTGTATGTGATTTATTGTTTATTCTCCATTACCCCGAGGAATATCGAGATCACTAGGGTAGGATGAATGTAGTCTGGTCGGTGAAGGTAATTTATTAGCATGAATAGAAGGACATATCCCCAATTAGCCTGAGGAATATCGAGTATCTTGGGTAATGTGAATGTAGACTGGTGGGTGAACCTTTGGGTAGTATGAATGTAGTCTAGTGGATGAATGTAATTTATTAGCGTGAATGGAAGGACATATCCCCAATTAGCCCGAGGAATATCGAATATTCTTGGGTAGTATCAATGGAGTCTGGTGGGGGAATGTAATTTATTAGCGTGAGTGGAAGGACATATCCCCAATTAGCCCGAAGAATATCGAGTATTCTTGGGTAGTATCAATGTAGTCTGGTGGGTGAATGTAATTTATTAGCGTGAATGGAAGGTCATATCCCCAATTAGCCCGAAGAATATCGAGTATTCTTGGGTAGTATCAATGTAGTCTGGTGGGTGAATGTAATTTATTAGCGTGAATGGAAGGTCATATCCCCAATTAGCCCGAAGAATATCGAGTATTCTTGGGTAGTATCAATGTAGTCTGGTGGGTGAATGTAATTTATTAGCGTGAATGGAAGGTCATATCCCCAATTAGCCCGAAGAATATCGAGTATTCTTGGGTAGTATCAATGTAGTCTGGTGGGTGAATGTATTTTATTATCGTGAGTGGAAGGACATATCCCCAATTAGCCCGAGGAATATCGAATATTCTTGGGTGGTATGACTGTAGTATGGTGGGTGAATGTAATTTATTAGCGTGAATGGAAGGACATATCACCAATTAGCCCGAGTAATATCGAGTACTCTTCGGTAATGAGAATGCTAACCAGACTATCATATTTTAATCTTGTTCCAATGTATTTATATTGGTTATTTGTGTTATTTTATACACAATTGACGAGGCCCTGGCCCAAATGGAGAAAGAGGCTAGCCATAGGGTAAAGAAGAGAGAGAGAGAGATTGTTACCGTTGTACCAGAAAATAACATATCTTAGCGGGAGAAAAAGAAACTAATAGGATTAAAACGCGAGAAAATTAAGGAAAGAATTGTAAAGCTAACAAACAGTGGGCTAGCCATGACTATGTAGTTTGCCGGCCCTAAAACTAAAAAAAATCTTTTTACTCTAAAACTTATTTCGAAATTTATATGCAGGGTGCCCTTTTGAGATGGTTCAGCTGAAGTTCTCTTTTTTGGAGAAAAATTATGCTGGATACTTCAAAATTTCAAATGCGACCCTATACAGCCTGACATAATTTTCAAGGATTTTTTACGAAAACAATGGTGCAATCGGATTTTAAATCAGTCAAAAAATGACAATGTCATGGCAAAAAAAACCGGCAGCGTAATTTTGAATATTTTACTTTTGGTTCCTCTCTCCGAAATATTGGACGTGTTTTCGGTTTTTCAAAAAATAAAATTAGAGGAATCCAGACTAGAATTTTAAGTCGTATTGCTCTCATCTTGTCAGGTACTTCGGGACTCTGATTAAAATGATTCTTTATAAAAATCCTTTAAATGATGTGTCAGGATGTATAGGGTCGTATTTGAAATTTTTATGTTGAACTGGGCTTGAGGTACCCTGTATACTGTTTCAACAAAAAAAGGTAAATTTGGAAACTAGACAAAAAAATATAATTTGTTTAAGAAAAATTCAGCCGTGCCATTAAAAAGGACACCCTATATAATACGTTATTAGCTAAAATTGTAATTTTTTTTAATTGGGCATCTAAAAAACAATCAGTGCCAAAGAGTGAAACACATACTTTCGTATAATCCTTAATATTATTTTATACGTTATATTATTTCATATTGATAATAAATTTATCAGTTAATCTCTGAAATTGTATGAAATACACGATTTATTAGTAATACATATCAATAATTTGTCGAGGTAGTTTACTCTTGTTTACATTAAATAATTTGCTGGTCCTGGGTTGAATTTTATTTATTGGGATAAAAAACGGATCATACGTAACAGTTAGTTTTAACATGCAAAGGTTTTTATCTATTGTATTAATTCAAACTAGTAGTTTGAAAACAATTGCTTCAATTGTGAAACTGAGAAGTTGGGCGGTCCCCTAATCACTGCAGTTTTTTACCTTATCATACTTACTCTTTATTTATTGGGGCAGCGTTGTGTTGAATCCTCAATGAATAGAAGTATCAAGTAGTAGCATGAGCTTAGTGTCTAACGACTTAAGGGTCTTTACATAAAACAACATAATTTTTTAGATTTCAGAGAATATTATGATAACATTGGAGTAATACGTGTGCTTTCTACACTCTTGGTTTTAATTTTGTATATATTACCTTGCTCACTGTTACTTGTTACCTACTTGAAAGTGTTACAGCTTTCTTATTGTGGCTGCACGTAGGCGGTAGCTCAGTGGAGAAGGGGGGGAAAGTGTTGAAGGGAGAGACAAGTGATGGCCGGTGAGGAGGTGAAAGTTTATTTACAGGTGTTATGTTATTTTTGGAGAAGGATAAATACCGAAACCAGGGAGGAAAAAAAGAGTAGAACAATAGAAAGAAAGGGAAAAGGAAGGACAGATACGGTTTCCGTGTCAGACCCCAGACGACCGATGTAGCGCTTCTGGCTCACTTCTTTCTGATGGCGCTTCCACCCAGGGTAATGATCGGAGCTAAATGATGAAGTTCTTCCTGCTTCTATCCGAGTTAATTCGTTAACACAAGCAAGATATCTTAAGGTATTTAGCTTACTTAGGGTTCAAAACTACGATTAAAAAAAAAGGAATACTAATCATAACTATTCTATTTACAAGTACATAGACAAATTCTTTGTAATTAAAAGTTAACCAAAGTTCGAAACTTGTAGCTCTCTAGTCCTGATAAGAAATTGGAAATGAACCAACTCACGGGATCACTCTTCACTTGCCGGGATCAGCCCCTTTCTCTTCGTAGGAACTCTCCGATCAGCACGACTAGGATCACAAGCCACAGAGACACATACGCTTTTTTAAAGAATATTTTCTTTCCTCGCGGAGACCACCTCTTCCTCGGAACGTCTATATCGAACTGACTCTCCTTGCGTTTTTCATTTTTTTTTTCAATCTCGGACCCAGAGCCCTCCCGATCAGGTTCTTGCAGGTCGCGAATTGCTTCCTGCTTCTCGCGCTTCTCTTCTCGGTTCGTCCCGCCACTATTTAAGCTTTATTAATTTTTTTCCCGAGAAGAAGGAAAAATGTAATAAAAGTAGTTATAACTACAAATTATTTAAAAAAATAGATTTATAAAATCTAAAAATATTAAATATTATTTAATTTTTAAAATGGTTTACATGTTTGAAATGAAATTCGCATTTCGTTTGAATAATGTGCTGAGCTATGTTAATAAAAAGAGTCAATTCTTTTTCGTCAAAAAATTTACATCCCAGGTTTTTATGTTGACCGTCAAAAAAGTTAAGAGATCCTGACATATCCTATACATTCTCCTGAACATTTCCCAAACGTTCATTTTTTCGGGTTTCGGATAACGTTGTAATAAATAAAATATTGAACACAAAAATTACTTCAAATAAGCTTAATCTATAATTCAACTTGATGGTATCTATGTTGATAGCATAATTTGATACATAATTTTAATAAAATGTAGATAAAAATTGTTTGATTTCTTCTAAGTTCCGTCGAGTGGTCGACCTATAGTTTGGCTGTTTTCTGACGTTTTGTTCTGTCTACCATGTGTCATCATCTTTTTCATTTTTAATAGTGCAGTTTGTACAAATTATTAAACTATGGATTGTGATAATCGGTATGATCGGTTTACCGTGTCCTTTTTCTGACAAACCGTTACATTGAGTATAGGTAGAGAAAATATGAGAAAAAAACCAAATTTTGTATATAGAAATATTTGTTTCACTTTGGTAGAAAGTCTATATTGAATTTTGATCAATGAATACTTTCACCATCGGTTCATTGGTAAACGAAAACGGTAAGATTTTGATCCAAAATTTCTTTCACCATAAAACATTCCAAGAGAATAAAAGAGCCCCCTGACTGCCTTTTCCTGGTGACGATTCGTTCCTTTTGTTGCTAAAAGAACGGCAAATAAATAAGCTTGTGAGATTGACCTTGATGGAGAGTAAAAGTAACGATAGGAGCTAGGTCATGTTTACAACTCGAGAGTGGAAGTGAGCAGGTGAGGCGAGTCGGGGGAAAAGGCCGCATGCGTCGACCCTTCGCCTTCGGGGGTAGGAAAAGAGGCGGCGAACCCGCTGGGACAGTCCTCTCGCGAATTGTGCTCAGTGAAGGTGAGTCGACGTTATCGCACAATAAACCAACGGTACTGACGAGACAGGTACATGACAAATCATCAAAACCGAAATTCTCGAAAAAGAAACCTTATCTCTTCAACAAACTTGAAAAAATAGGTCCATCCTGTTATAAAAACTTCTTGATTTTATTACATAATTCACTGTCGTATTTTGTACAAACAAAAATAATGAGAGAAAATTTTGTATGTCTATTATTTTTTTACCGACGGGTAGTAAATTTTCGTTCTTGCTTAATAATTTTTCAATATTGATAAATTCTAGAATTATTGTTATGAAATATTTTTCTTAAGATATAATATAACATATAGTGTATGAACGATATTATTTTAAATTGATAAACAATCCATGTTATCAATGTATAGCTATTTTTATTATAGCAAAATATTTCAACATTCCGTATAATAAAAAAATCCAAACAACTTATTTTACATTTTTCATGTAGAGAAAAGCTCGAAAATGTGTATTATTTTGCTTAGGTTAACCAGCTAAGATCTATAAATATGACTTAAAATAATAGTTAACCGAACGTTTTTAATGACAATGAACAAAACTTTTTTTGAAAAGCTACAGAATATAAAGAAAATAACGGTTTGCAATTTTACAAAATTTCAAGATTTCTAAATTGTTTTTTATAATGGTAATATAGAAGATAGATATATGGAATTTTTTGAAATCATCGAAGTCATATTAAAATTCTCGTTATTTATCACTTAACACCAAATTTAAACAAGAACATCATTCTCACATAAATTAAATGTATTTCTAAAAAATCTAAGAAAATTATCTTCTTTATAAATGGTATAGTTTTTTTGACTACTATGTTTTCTATTTTGTTAAAATAATCATGCCCGACGAAAATATGATTTAACTTTAATTTTTAGACAAATAATAAATGCTATAAACGTTTTATGTTAGTCATTAAAAAAAACATAAAATAGTTTTTATCTATTTTTCTTATTTGTGCTGGATGTGAGCGGTGGCTGAGTTCTTGCGGTGAGAGTAATTTTTCCAGGCCAGCAGCCAGATCTGGAACCCAGCCCAGCAGGGTAGAAATTTGCCTAAATCAATTGACTCAACATTAATGACTGTCGAGCTTTACGTTTTTTCAATCAGGATTTGTGTAACAAAAATCACTAGATAAAAAAATCATTTGATAAACAGAGAACAGAAGAGAAATTGTTTCAGTTCGTTTAGTCAATTAACCCATCCCTTGGATATTAATTGAAAGTGGTTTCTTGGAAGTAGTTATGCAAGTAGAAACCAACCTATTACTCAGTTCAATTACGATTGATGTAGCTATAGCTCTTGTATACAAGGGTCTAAACCGCATTAATAGCAAGTTTAGGAGTAAACATGCTTATTGTTTGGCTTACTGTAATGAGAATAAACCTAGCAAGTTTATATTGTATTTTAATTTTAATGAACAAGCAGATAAATTGTAAAACAATATTCGTATATCTGTACTATTTTTTGATATTCAGTTTTATAAACATAGAATTTAAACTAGCCAGTAAACGATGGTAATAGTGGCAATAGTTATTCGGAAATCGTGAGATGCGGTCTGGTGTGGCGTAGGTTTTAGAAAAACATTTTCTTTATCGTGCCAACGTTTCGATCTTCATTAAGATCATCTTCAGGGCTCAAAGTGTTTGTTTTCTGCGTAATTCTGCCATTCATGTGTGTCGTGTTGAGAGCGCCACGCAAGAATGTCACAATTACGCAGAAAACAAACCCTTTGAGCCCTGAAGATGATTTTAAATATAGATCGAAACGTTGGCACGATAAAGAAAAGGTTTTTCTAAAACCTAAGTCACACCAGACCGCATCTAACGATTTCGGAATAATCACAGACGAACGGTCACTTATTACCACAAACAGTGGCAATAGTTACTTTTCAAGATCACAGTGAGATTTTTCAATCCAAATTATTAGATTATTTGGTCATATGTATTTTTGTAGTCTTGGGGATTTTCTCCTTTTGCACTTAAACTTCTTCGTCTATTGTGCCCGATCATTGGTAATGGCTAAATGTCATTTCTTTAAAAAAAAAAAAAAAAGGCAAAATTTTTTCAGTGGGGTATTGTATTGTAGACTCACTGTTTACGGTATCTTAGGGACTTTTTGAGCCATTGCAAGGCAGTTAAATAAAATATGCTTGGTTTCCTATCTCTTCCAGATATAGTCATCCGTTAGTAATCTCATTTTTAAAGTCGTATTTTACTAGATTCCTGTAAATATACATGTTAGGGTTAATTACTTTCTGTTGAGTACGATTTCCTCTTTCCCCTATTGATTTTCGACTAGTCTTTTATTTTTGCTTTTTACTCGATTTATTAATGTGGCTCTTTTTTATGGCACAAAAAGTGAATATACCTATTAGAGGATTGTTCTGCTCCTTTTTTAACTAGGAGATATCGTTTCCTGAAAATCCCTTCTGATCTGAATCTCACTGTCGCGTTAAAATATTCATAAGCTCTATTTTATAAATATATTTAGTCCAATCTATTATTATTGATTTCGCAGTAAAGAGCCTTAAGATCTTCTATCTTTTAAATGTTACGTTTATTTGTTGTTGATGTTTGTTATTCATTTCATGCGAACATGTTGCTATCGCTAGTAATTCGGCTTGAAAGATTGTTGCAGCAGATCCGAGTGCCATGTGGTGCTCACAGCTATGCTTATGTTTGTATGAGTATTTTTCTGAGATACTCTTTTTACCCAGGAGTCCGCACGTTGTCTCATGGTATGGAACCCACTATAGCGTTAAACTACCCACGAAATCAATTTTTTATGGGTATTCAGACAGTCCAGACTATTTTTCAGTCGATCCCGAAGGCTTGAAGAACCTTAAGAGCTAATATCTTTTATATATTATTTTATTATCTCTTAATATTATAGTTGAACTTTTGAGATGTTTGTTATGTATGTTCCTATGTTGGTACGGCCATTAATTCGGCTTGAAAGTTGTGGTAGATTCCAAAGCTGTGTGGTACTAATAGTTAAGCCCTTAATGCCCATACCCATTCTATTTCCCATGTTAGAGTCTTTTTTTTCTTTCAATTCTGCTCTCTCGTTAATTTTTATTATGAATGGTTTGTCAAAGTAGATTTTGTTATATACCAGATAACTGAGAAATCATAGGTCAGTAGAAAGAAAACACAAAGAAAATTTATATACTTGAATTTTAATCAGAAAGAGAGCAGCAACTGATAAGATAGTTTCCTAAGTTAAAAAATAGTTAAAGTATAAATTTCCAATAGAACAATTTGCACAAGAAAGTGTTCCAGTGAAGGTAAATTTTTCAGAGTTTTAAACTCTTGCGTCATTTTAACTTTTCTTTGGGTAATGAATAACACAAACTTTGGAAACAAAGCACGTTTTTAACTCAATTAAAAACTTTCGCACTTGGCTATTGTATATTAAAAACAGAAATCACAAACTGGTTATCCATCATCGAACATTAATACAATTTTGTTGTTTGATGTAACAACAATTTTAAACATTATGTTAAATTAAGCGTTTTGAAACTGTAATTCTCGTTGGATAACAAATATTTAGTTTTCTCATATTTCATTCTACCATCAGACAAACAAAATATTTCATTAAAATTTCATGAATAATTTATTTGTGGATAGATATAACATTAAATTTGCATAAATGAAATATACTTTGATTATAATAAGTAATTTTTTCAGGTCAAGTTAAAAACAAATTTTTAAATTAGTGCAACAATCCTAAAGACAGATTTTTCATCAAATTAAATAAAGATAAATTATATTTATTTATTTTACATATTTGCAAACATATACTTTATTGTAGATATTTTTTGTCTATATCTCCTGAATTAAGGAAAGGGTAATGTGGCGGTCTACGTGCGAGACCATTATGGTCCTGGGTGGATTACAAAAAAGGGTACGTTTTCCCCCATAATGGCCGTATTCCGAATCCGAGAGAGTTCAAGTTTATACAATAGTTAGTTCATCTCGAATGTAATACAATAGTGTAATATTATTAATAAGTTGCGAAGAAAAATGCAAAAGATTTGTCATATGCCTTACGGTTGAATGGCATAATCCGTGAGTTTTTCAATTCAAGTTAAACCTACTGAGTTTCTTCTCTGTACTCGACTAGTCATTATATTAATCTAAGATCGAAAGGAAAATTTGCAAGAAAGGTTATTACTTTGCTACATGTCAAGGCAAGTGATGTAACAGAATAAATAAATTCTTTATTACATTTTACATTTGTGTTTCTCTTCTAGATAAACGTTTCGATGCTTTAAAGTCCAATCAGTGAATGTCAGCTCTGGTATAAATGGCGTGCGAGGACATATTCAGTCAAGGTAGTTGGTAGTGAGCCAAATTCGGCTACCAATAGGTGCTGGCAACTCCTATTCGACAAATTAAACCGATTGGTGAACAGAGCCACTGTAACCATATATGTCACAGTTAAGAGTGCGACTAATCGGCCAAAGGGACTTTGCAATAAGGTGGTGCAACCTGAATAAAATAACCGACTTCTTGCTCATTTTACCAATTCCTTATAGGAACTATTAAACAATAAACAAAATATGTGGATGACCAACATTGTAGTCACACAAGGGATCGATATTAATGCAACTTTTTTCGGTAAAACTATGTAGAAATATGTGAGACATGTTACCATTTGACCACCTTCTTGCCAGTTGGCCCTAGGTAGCGAGAGTTAAAAAAATGTAATTTCCTGTCTTTGTGCATGTACTTCAATGATACTGTATCAGTCGATTGATTTTTTTATCTATGATATGCAGAATCGTATTAAAAGGTATTAAATATATAAAATGTTACTTAGAAGAAAAACGTTTCTAGCAAAACAGGCCGAAAAATGTATTTTTGAAAAAACAAACAATTTGGATGCTTTTGAAAAACACCATTTAAAGTCATTAAATACGTACATAAATTTAAGAAAATAAATAATTTAATACTACTAGCGTTAATTGGCGCTAAAATTAAAATATTAAAGCTGATATAAATCACACCAAGATGTATATTTTTCTCATAAAATGAAAATTGATTTAATAATTAAATTAAATTAAACATTAAATTAATGTAGGCAAAGTTTTTAAAAACTTTTTAAAAAAATCGCCTTTTCTAAATGCTTGTAAGAACGCTGAATTTGAATATAATCCAGAGATGTTATACATTATTAAACACCGGACAAGAGAGAGAAAAAATATTGGCCCCGGCAAATCTTGCTAAAAATGTAATTTTTTATTAAAAGAAAAACCTTTCTAACGTTACATGAAACGAATCCGAAATATTTTTCTCAACAAAATTGTTTTTTGACATATTCTTCTGGGAGCGTCTTTTCTTTAAATAATACCTAATCGATTACATATTGGTTTGTATCCTATGTGAAAAATGTAGAGAAATATGTAATGTACATTGAAATACATGCAAAACAAATATAGAAAAGTATGTTAAACAAAAATCATTTAAATTATTTGAAATGTTTTTCTTGCCTCTTAGGGTCCATTAGTTGATCTAGTATCACCAAAAAAGTAATATTAAAATTGGTGATTTTTACCTCGAACTTAGTCGGATTTTTATAAACCAATGATTTTTTGTAGGTAGGCTTTAGTCTTACCTTCATTATATTTAATTTTGTCAGTTATTTTATATTCTGTGTCGTAAATGTTTTTGGTAGTAACGGCAAATAAAAGTTTACTTGATTTCTTGTTTATTTTAAGAATGTCTCCGAAAAGGGAAATTCGAACGAATTAGACAAAATTTTCCGTCAAGAAGACAGTTCTTAAATATTTTAAAAAACTTAGGGATGCTAGGCATTTTTGGGCTAAGGTTTTAATAACCAAAAGATTTCTCGTGACAAAGGTTGAGACCCGATTTAAACTGAGTTAATTATTTCGGTTTAGCGAAGTTGAGGCTCGAACCCCTTAGAAATTCATGCTGCTTTGATCTAATTTCAAGGATAAAGAATGCTTTTATTCCCATGAAAATGAAAGGTTGCTGAATGCCTAAATACCAGAGATATAATTTATATATAGATTTTGATTCAAGGAAAATCGTTCTGTTTATTTAATTTAATGCTTTTAAAATGATTAATGAGTTTGTTTTGCATTCGTTTTTCGCCTTGGTCATTTTAAATTTGCCTTGGGAAAAAAATAATTAAAAGCTACACTTCCTAACGACACATAAACTTCAAAAATATACGGATAAAACGAACTAAATTAATATTAAAAGAAGGATTTTGTTGTTTACCTGTCAAAAACAGTACTGTTAATGACTTCTATTAAACCAGGTGGAAACTGTCATCTTTTGGCGATAAAAAGAGAAATTGGTTTGGGTCGTGAAAGTGTTAGTGATAATCACGACGGAGATGAGCATAGACAGACTGGAATGTTCTGGGTTCTCCGGAGGATAGTGAACCTGACAAGTCATGTTAGAAGTATTAGCAAGTGTCTCCCATTTTGCAGGTAAGAAATGTTTTTAAATCCTACACATAAAACCTTGCATGAAAAAACTGATTATTGTATAATCTAACTGTTAGAAAACTCGTACTTGCTTTGGAAACTGAAAAACATCCTATACATACTATCTCATAATGAGATCATATCTGACTAACCGATTTTACCGAGTCCGTCAGGGGACTGAACCTTATGTATTATGGCGTGTGTACCGCAGAGAAACTTACTTGGTTCATTTCTATTTTCAATATACACTGCAGATATTCTTACAAATGTTTACATTTCAACACATATGTTCGCTACTGCGATACTCAACTCTTACAGCAACATCTGGATGAATTATCAGAGTGATTCAAAAAGTGGAGAATGAAAATAAACTTAACGAAAAACTTGCTCAATACACCATTGGCTACCACTGAACTTGCGTTCACGACTCGTTTGGAATCTGTACACAAGTCTGAAAAGATATGAAACAAACTGACTTTTTAAATTATTAAAAAGACTACTTGACACAAGATCAAAATTTGACATATAAAACAAACTTTTAATTTATAAGACAACGATAAGACTTCCCTGGGCATACTGTTGTAAAGTCACGGTTGGGTAGAACCAAGGACTCAATTTCCAACGTCTCTAATCAATTCAATTTAAAATTCTCTGATAATTACAAAATGTTCTTTTTTATGTTTTAAATTACACTGTTTATAACGATCGACCCATCCCGTTTGTACACGACGACATCAAAACCTGCTAATTTTTTTTAAAAATTCATTTTTTTTTCATTAATCACTTAATATCCACAATAATCTACAATAGTATTAGTACAACAGTGATCATTTTCAACTCCCCAAAAAATCCTGCGAAACAATTGAAGCGAAAGTGACCCGGAAACTTCTCATTGAGTGAAGATTGAAGTTTCAGTGTGAAGAAGAGTGTCACTGGTCAACTCCTGATTAAACTGACTGAAACGCAGTTTAATGCTATATTTCTAGTTGCCAACAAAATAAATGTGGTAAATTAAAAAGTTAGGAAATCATTTTACTCGATACACAGCCCGTAATAAAAAACAAACCTTAAATTATTTAAGTTAAATTAATCCAATTTCAAGAAGATACAGAAAAAGGGGAATTTTTCTTCCAAGGGACTGAAGTTCCATCTCGTCCTTCTCACGACCGAGCAGAAAAAGCTCGTTTAACATTTATCATAAAGTAGATTTCTGTGAACAAGGGCAAACAAACCGTCCATTCTTTCTTTATCTCGTTCATTTGAATCCACCGCGACGAAAACTTGGCCGACTTCTCAACGAGTAAGTTCAAGTCACTTCCTTGCTTTAACTTCAACCTAACTCCAATTTAGAACGCTAATAAACCCATTGTCTCGGCCTAAGATCTTATAAGCGGATCTATTTAGCAATTTTTACAGAATACTTGGAAAATCCTTTCATCATTTATATTTTAAATGTCTATTTTTTGAATTGTTATTTATGAATGTTGTATAAATATTTATAAACACTAGATATCTCGTTTAAACTAAAATGAAAATACATGGGTAAACAGGTTTCGACTTAATAAATATTTTAATAATTATAAAAACTAGATTATTCGGAAATCGTGAGATGCGGTCTGGTGTGATGTAGGTTTCAGAAAAACATTTTCTTTAGCGGGCCAACGTTTCAACCTGTATTGAGATCATCTTCAGGGCCTAAGATTTACAAACATTGTTTAAATTTAACAAATACATGTAGGATGTGGAAAAAATTGAATTTGTACAATGAAAAAAAAATTTTATATTCAATAAAAGTATTTCCACTCACTCAAAGTTTGTAACGCAGAAAACAAACCTTTTGGATGAGTAGAAGTTCTTTGATTGTATTGAATAAATTCTCTTTTTTCCACATCCTACATGTGTTTCTTAATTTAAAGAATGTTTGTAAATCCCAAGCCCTGAAGATGATCTCAATAAAGATCGAAACGTTGGCACGATAAAGAAAATGTTTTTCTGAAACTTACATCACACCAGACCGCAGCTCACGATTTCCGAATAATCATCGACTAACGGTCAAAAATCACCACACATAAAAACTAGACGTTGAGCAAAGTTTTAAATATTTTATTGTCTTAGAATTCTATCAAACAATGTACTTTAATCATAGTATGAAAAAAAGGTTTACAAAAGATAGAAATAAATTTGCACATAAACATTATTTAATCTGATATAAACTATTATCTTTCCCTGTGGTAGCATTCATGTCATTCCAAAACGTTTGTTTTCATAATAAATGAATCGAGATAAATACAAAAAAATGGAACATATTTTTGTTGGAGTAATTTCAGATAGCAGGGATGAAAAACTTTTGTGATAAAATAGAGGTAACCTTGTACAGATCGATGTACATCCAAAGAACGCCTTTATTGTGTTGAACATAATTGTATTGCCCTGTTGGTCAAAGGTTTTTCCAGCAGATCACAAGGAAAGTAGTGTTTAATAAAGTATAAAGAAAGGCGATATGAGAGGAAATTTCTATGTGTGGTGGGGATGTGGGCTGGGCAAGAATATATAAAGGTTTACATACTTGAAAATGCTTTCAACGTTATGCTTGGTTAGGCAAACATATTCTGATAAAATATGTAAAGCTTACTATATCCGTGCAAAAGTTGAAATGAAACGTTTTTCAAATGTAATCAGAAAAGCAATAATTACTCAAGTTACGAAAGAATTTATAATAACAGTATATATTTATTAGAAAAAAGAATACACTGAAAAATAAAATTACATGTACAAGCAATGGCAATAAACTTCCACCAGGGTTGATCGTATCTCTGAAATAGTTAAAAATAAAAGATTTAAAAAAAATTAAAGGAAAAGTACAAAAAAGTTACATATAAATAAAGTACCTAAACTTGCATAAAAATGAAATTTAATTACGTACCACAATATTTTAGATTAAAATTTGAATTTTAGCCAACTTTTGAAACGGGCAAAAGTTACACAGGTGATTTTTTCCTGAGGTCTTTGGTGAATACACCCTTCCATTCTCCCATTGCGACCTAATAAAAGAACCATTGTGAAATTGTCCCTTCTTTATATATATATCCCAGAAAGTGCACTACCTTTAAGGGACTTGAGCACTTTCCAGGGTTCCTCTTCGCTTATTTACCTTTCTGAAGTGTCTGTACCGCTTTGCAGTCACATAGGACGTGTATTATGTGTCTGCTTTTTCATGGCAGGGTCAAACATTTCTGTCTTATGTTTTAAGTTGGTAATTTGATAAGCAATGGCCAATATAACGATATATATTTTTTCTTTATGTCCTACTAAGACAGAGGTAGATTTTTTACTTACCGTATCCAGTGAATTCTAGTCTGTGGCCGTTTTTTCTCCACCTATTTGGTCGGTTGCCTTTTCAATTTTCTTTGGTGCGAGTCCAATTTGCTGTACTGGTACAATGGGTATGAAGTTTTCTCCTGCTTATGCTAGTTTATCAGCCTGCTTGTTTTTCTAGCACCCACATAAGAATTACCTGATTTCGTTTTCCCAGGAGATGGAGACATTCCCGGACTGACTTTGAGTTGAAGGTGGAGCAGTATAAAGCGTTAAGTGCTGCTTGCCTGTCTGAAAAAAGTATATCTGAGCATATTTTAATCCTTTTTCATTGTGGCTTTGACAAATGGTTGTGTGGAGCCTATGGCTTCCCTACGTCAAAATTTGGATTATTTTTTCAATTAGGTCAGACACTGTTGCCACTATTTTATGAATTTTTATCATTTTGAGAATTTTTATGTGCCTTTCTCTCTCTCTCTCTCTCTCTCTCTCTCTTAAATATATATAATTGATTAATAAGAATCGCAGAAGCGTAGCTCTACTTTTAAGAAGATAATGGGTATATCAATCTTTTATACAACAATATTATACATTATTATATGCTTCTACATAGTTTTTTTCTACCACTATGCATACCATGATAATGAGCCTGAAAACCTGTCAGAATGAAGTGAATTATCCCTTACAATCAAAAACTATAAAAAGCATTTCCACGTTCCTAAAGGTAATTATAGTGAACATTTCGAATATTTGACCCATTTCGTTTGTTCTTCTTTGAATTGCGTTAAAAAGTTTTCGTTTCATTCTGCGGATCAGTCTAAAGCCTTCAGGGTTGCTTGGCTGTCTGAGAATATGTATAGCTCTACACCTGTCAGCCTTTTTTTAAATATTCCTTGTGCCCAGAGTTGTAATGCATGGATCTCAGCTTGGAATATTGATGGTGTGGAGGCTAGAGGTTTCGCTAGGTCAAAATTGGGTTTTGACTCCCGCCTCTACTTCCTGATCCATTTTGGATAAATCTTATTGTGGTAGAATAAGAACTCTCTATTTGATTCGGTTTTTTTATTTTTTCAAAAATATCATGTCATTTTCATTTGGAAGGGTATGTAAAAATGTTTATAAATTTTAATTTTGTCAGACACTGTTATAGCCATTCCAATTATTTCTTATCCTTTTTAGAGTTTTATCGTGGCTTTCTCTTAGGTCGAGTATCACACAGGGGATAATTTTATCCGTAAAACGATAACATTTGACAAGATAGCAGATAAATTCTGTCAGATCGGGGCATATTGATAAAATAATATAAAAACTTTTAAAGTATTTATGTTACAAAGTGAATATTTTTTGCTACCAGAATTTTCTTCAACCCAAGGTCTGTAAAATATAAATTTATAAGCTTCCCTATCGATGCATTATGTATAGAAATTTCTCAAATTTAAAATCGTTCAGAGAAGTGCTTTATAGCCATAATCTTAAGAGTTTGTCACAGTGCTTGATATGCTGCTTCATTTTACAGATCTTTGAAAATCAGTTTTAATATAGAATTTTTGTAAAGAATCTCCTAGAGTTTTGACTTAAACTTGCCAGATCCATGTACACTGTAAATTGTTCGCGAAATATAGCTCAAACAATTTTTGAAGATAAGAAAATAAGGTGTGTCACAGTGTGATATAAATTCAGTGATAGTA